CAAAACGTCTGTCACATGTGGTACCCCCATACTCAGGAGAAGTAGCAGAATGTATTTTGGGGAGTAATGCCACATATACCCATGGCATGTGTGAGCAGTAAATCATTTGTGACAATTTTGTGTAAAAAAAAAAAAAAAATTTTGTAATTTTCCAAAAACTTGTGGTATAAAAATAAATTCTTCTGTTGATTCAACATGTCTCTCAGCAAATAGTTTGGGGTGTCTACTTTCCAAAAAGGGGTCATTTTGGGGGGTGGGGGCATTTTATGCCCAGCATTAGAAGTTTATGCCACACATCGCTCACTCTTCTAACCACCTGAAGATCAAGCCTTTTCTGACACTTTTTGTTTTGAAACAAATCAGTATTTTTTGCTAGGAAATTAATTTAAACCCCCAAACATATATATATCTTTTTAAATCAGACACCCTAGTGAATAAAATGGTGGGTACTACAATTTTTTATGGCACATGGTACTCACGCAGCGATTTTTCAATCGCAATTTTTTTTAAAAAATACACTTTTTTTACTTTTAATGCACAAAAACACAATATATTGGCCAATTATTTGGTAAGATAGAAAAGATGATGGTATGCCAAGTAAAGAGATAGCAAACATGACATGCTTTAATACTGTGCATGCCCCGTACAATGGCAACAAACTGCATACATTTTTTTAATATCCATAGGCAACGCTTTAAAAGCTACCATTTTAGATTTACAGAGGAGGTCTAGTGTTAGAATTACTGCCCTTGATCTGACATTCACGGCGATACCTCACATGTATGGTTCAACCGCTGTTTACATACCGGCACAGGGTCAACGCTTGTGCACACAGGTGTGCGTGCATGGGAGGGAGAGTTCTTTTTTTAAGTTTTATTGTTTTTTTCTTAATTATTTTTACACTGTACCTTTCAATTTTTTTTTTAGCACTTTTAATGCTATCACAGGGAATGCAAATATCCCCTATAACTTCAATGGGCATTGTCATATATTCTTTTTTTGAGAAATCTAGGGTCTATAAGACTCTAGATATCTCCTCTGCCCTTACATTATCTAATAAAACCAGGATCGGTGTGATCAGATGCTTTCCCAATTTACAAATCCCAATTTATATCCTGCGAAACTGCTCGTAGCTTCCGAATTCTTAGACTATAGAGATGATTGGCACCACTCTGGTCTCCAATCAGCTCTATGGTCAGCTGGCAGAAACACCGGCATTCTCAGGTTCCCCCGATGGCATGGGACTGCCCGAAAAGGCCGTGGAAGGCAGCGGGGGAGGGGGGCATCATATCCTGCTGCTTGTAAAAGCAATCCTGAAGCTAATTAGCCACTAGGATTGCTTTTACATGAAAGCTGATCGCCGGCTGAAAAAAACAATACCAGGATGATGCCTGCAGCTGTAGGCATCATCCTGGTATAACCATTCAAACCAGTACATCGCTGATCCTTGTTGGGTGTATATGTTATTTTATTTTTTTTTTGTATGCAGCCTATGGACTGAATGAAAAGAAGAGAAGAAAGCACCCACTTCTAATGGTCATTAGGTCACACTTTGCCACATGCGCTAGTTCCAAGATTGTACAAATGTCTAAATAGTGACACGCTTGAATAAAAATTGTCCAAGTATAAGTGGTACCCCATATGGAAAAAGGATGACACCAAGTCCCTAATATCTTGTCACTGCTCCCCATGTAGTCTGGGCATCCGAGGGCTCCACTTGACTATCTTTTCCCTCATAAATCCTAAACTTATAAGTATAGCCTGTTGTCCTCTCACAGGTCTTCTACATCTTGACCTCATATCTGGCACACTTGCTGGGGAGAAATTGTTTGAATGCAAGGCGGCCAGAAAAATTAATCAGGGACTCATCAACACAGACGTTTTGCTGGGAAGTATAGACATCTGCAAATATTTGGTTAAGGTGATTTGCGAGGGGCTGAGTTTTGTGGAGCCAATCAAATTCAGGGTCACCCCGAGGATGACAGAGTGTATTGTCGTTGAAATGCATAAAACACATTATACTCTCATATCTATGCCTGGCCATGGCAGCAGAGAACACGGCATATGATGAATCAGGTCTGCGGACCAATACAACTGCAATTCACTTCTTTTAGTAATGCCTATGTTGAGGGTTAGGCCCAAAAAAAATGTAAATTCGGAAACTGTAATTTCCATGCGACTGGTATGGCAAGGTTTGAATTTGGGTTGACGCTATAAATTGTTGTGCATATAAATAGCTTTGATCCACAATCAACGCATACAGATAGTCCATGAAAAACAGCTCCAAAAATCAAGGAGAGTAGTTAAATTTGCTATTTCCACCTGAATTCCGGGTTGGGCAGTGAATGGGGGAAGTACGGGTGCTGCAGAATTTGTGGGCTGTCAATCGGGATTTGCAAGCACATCCGGAAGGATACAGGAGTTCTATGGGCCTGTGTGCGAATTCTTGGTGGCTGCGGGACAATACTTGTGCTCGTCACTGCACCAGCTTGTACTGGACTTATGGGACTCGCCACATCACCAAGTCATACTGCAGTGCTGGTATGATTATTATTATACAGGATTTATATGGAGCCAACAGTTTGCTCAGTGCTTTACAGTATAACGGGAGACAATATAGCAACAATACAATTCAATATAGAGGGTTAGGAGGGCCCTGATCCTGGGATCTTACAATCTAAGAGGTATGTGAAAGACCAGGATGTACTAGGCCACTAGCACTCGCCAGTTCACCAAAAGGTAGCGTGGCACTAGTACTGGCACTCTGCTGCATATGAGAGTCCTCAAAATTTACCAACAAGTGCTAACAGAGATCAGGCCTGATTCTGCCAACACTGCGGTTTTGTGTGCAATGTATCAAGTGATAGTGACCTACTGACAAAGCACTTGCTGGTGGAGAAGGGGGGGGGGTAAGCGTAGGGGTTAAACGCAGGTGCCAAGGCTGATCCCGCTAATGCTGTGTTTTTGGGGACACTATACTAATGTGAACACTGGTATAGTGCTGATCTGATCAAAGATATTGACCCGTTCAGACACTATACTAGCAATGGAGGTTTATTGTGCTTGAGCGTGTTCCTGGCAATCAAGGGGTTAAATGTGATGACTGGTGTACTGACGGGCAATCTGACGCTATCTGGGAGGGGCATGAAAACCACGGGAGCGCAAATCATGTGTATATATATATATATATATATATATATATATATATATGTGATTTTGCACTCCCATGTCGCCCTGTAGCAGTATTTCTGCTATAGGGTGGTCAGGAAGCGGTTACAGAAGTGGTTTGTGCTATGGCGCTGCGTTACTTTAACTGACAATTGCGCGGTCATGCAACACTGCACTCAAATTAAATTAATGTCTTTTTTTCCCACAAATTGAGCTTTCTTTCAGTGGTATTTGATCGCCTGTGCGTTTTTTATTTTTTGCGCTATAAAAATAAAAGGCTGACAATTTTGAGAAAACAAACAATATTTTGTACTTTTAGCTATAAAACATGTCCAGTAAAAAAATGTAAACATCAAATTTCGTCATAAATTTCAGCCAAAATGTATTCTGGTACATGTCTTTGCTAAAAAAAAATCCCAATATGTGTAAATTAATTGGTTTATGTGAAAGTTATAGCGTCTACAAATGGCGGGAAACATATTTTCTTTTCTATACTAATAATGGCGGCGATCAGCAACTTATGGTGGTGATCAGCGATTTATGACAGTGATCAGCGACTTATGGCGGGACTGCGGGACTGTGGCAGACATTATGACACTGGGGGGAACTGACTTGGGGTCACTGACATCCCCAGTGACACAATACAGTAATCAGTGCAAAAAAAAAGACACTGACACTGTACTAATGGCACTGGGGAGGAAGGGGTTAACTTTTTTTAGGCAATGAAAGGGTTAACTGTGTGAGGGGAGTGTTTTACTAGTGGGCGGGGGTGTGTGCTTCACAGGAACACACTGATCCCGACAGATAAACTCTGCTCTCAGGATCAGTGTGTTAGGAGCTGACAGGGAGCAGAGCTGCATTGTAAACAATGCAGCTGTGCTCTGTGTCACTGTTTGCCGGCAATCGCAGGGACCCAGCGGGTAACTGATTGACACCCGCTGCTGCGATCGGCGTGTGCCCCCTACCTGTTTTGCAAAATGATGTTTTAAAACTTGATTTTACCCAGCGGTGCCACCTTGTGGCCGTTTTTCTTCAGTGGCTGTAGGGCAGTGTTTCTCAACTCCAGTCCTCATGGACCCCCAACAGGTCATGTTTTCAGGATTTCCATTATTTTGCACAGGTGATTTGATCAGTTTCACTGCCTTAGTAATTACCACAGCTGTTTCATCTGAGGGAAATCCTGAAAACATGACCTGTTGGGGATCCATGAGGACTGGAGTTGAGAAACACTGCTGTAGGGCAAGCAGTTAAATGCCTTTACAGGTTACCAGTTTAAAGTTACACAGGAGGTCTGGGGCTAGAATTATTTCTCTCACACTGACATTTGTGTGTGGTGCGATTTTCGTTTACATATGTGTGTGGGACCTATACATGCACTTGCATTTGTGCGCAAGCATGGGAACATAGGGGTGCTTTAAAAAATATCCAACTATTATTTATTTTATTTGAATTTTTGTATTTTTTATTTCTTAATCACTTTTATTGTCATCACAGGTAATGTATCACAAGGGGAACATGCCTTGTGACAACAATCAGCAGTGACAGGTCCTCTTTACTGAGACATCTGGGGTCTACCAAGATTGGTCTGATCAGATGTTTTACAAGCTAGTAATAGCTTGTAAACAAAAGACAGGAACTGGAAGTGACAAAGTATTAGCAGCTTCCAGTTCCTAAAATCATAAGGGGTCACTGGAGACGATCTGATTAGAGATGAGCGAATTATTCAAAAATTCGATTCGGCTGATTCGGCGAATTCGCGGAATAAATTTGATTCGAGTCGAATATATTCGCTTTAACTTATAAAAAGGGTGTTTCTAGGCTTCAGAGAGCCTTTATATTAGTGCAGAACACTGTACCTTTAATTTAAATGCCCTTGGAGTCTGCTGGGGAAGAGAAATAATACTGTCAGTCAGTATGACATGCAGATGAGTGCCGTCGATCTTAGAATCACCGCACACTTCACTCATTTGGGCAGTCACAGGGCCAAAACCAGAGTGTGGAGCCACAGTGTGGCGGTGGAGGCAGCAGCAATGGGAGGCCATACAGCACCCTATGACAAAATGGAACCCACCAGCAGTGTGAGGAGACCTGAAAGTGGCACATGGCAGAGTGTGGCGATGGAGACAGCAGCAATGGGAGGCCGTACAGGGACCCATGACACATTCTGGACCTGGCAGCAGCATGAGGAGGCGGTACAGGGGTCCATGACAGATTACGGGCCTGGCAGCAGCATGAGGAGTCGGTATGGGGGCCCATGGCAGATTACGGGCCTGGCAGCAGCAATGGGAGGCCATACAGCACCCTATGACAAAATGGAACCCACCAGCAGTGTGAGGAGACCTGAAAGTGGCACATGGCAGAGTGTGGCGATGGAGACAGCAGCAATGGGAGGCCGTACAGGGACCCATGACACACTCTGGACCTGGCAGCAGCATGAGGAGGCGGTACAGGGGCCCATGACAGATTACGGGCCTGGCAGCAGCATGAGGAGTCGGTACGGGGGCCCATGGCAGATTACGGGCCTGGCAGCAGCAATGGGAGGCCATACAGCACCCTATGACAAAATGGAACCCACCAGCAGTGTGAGGAGACCTGAAAGTGGCACATGGCAGAGTGTGGCGATGGAGACAGCAGCAATGGAGGCCGTACAGGGACCCATGACACACTCTGGACCTGGCAGCAGCATGAGGAGGCGGTACAGGGGCCCATGACAGATTACAGGCCTGGCAGCAGCATGAGGAGTCGGTACGGGGGCCCATGGCAGATTACGGGCCTGGCAGCAGCAATGGGAGGCTGTACAGGGACCCATGACACACTCTGGACCTGGCAGCAGCATGAGGAGGCGGTAAAGGGGCCCATGACAGATTACGGCCTGGCAGCAGCATGAGGAGTCGGTACGGGGGCCCATGGCAGATTACGGGCCTGGGAGGGTACTGCCAGCACCTTGGGAACCCACCGCGTGTGAGGAGACTGAAGTGGCACTAGAGTGTGTGGCACTGGAAGACTACAGCAATGGGACCGTACAGGCACCCTTGACACACTCTGGATGGCAGCAGCAATGAGGGGGGTACCAGGGGCCCATGACAGATTACGGGCCTGGCAGCCAGCGGATGAGGAGTCGGTACGGGGGCCCATGGCAGATTACGGGACCTGGCAGCGGCAATGGGAGGCCGTACAGGGACCCTGACACTCTGGACCCCTTTGCAGCAGCATGAGGAGGCGGTACAGGGGCCATGACAGATTACAGGCCTGGCAGCAGCATGAGGAGTCGGTACGGGGGGCCATGGCAGATTACGGGCCTGGCAGCAGCATGAAATTTGGGGAGGCCCGTAATCTGCCAGCACCCTATGGACAAAATGGAACCCACCAGCAGTGTGAGGGAGTCGGTACTGGAAAGTGGCACATGGCAGAGTGTGGCGATGGAGACAGCAGCATGGGAGGCCGTACAGGGACCCATGACACACTCTGGACCTGGCAGCAGCATGTAGGAGGCGGTAGGTACAGGGGCCCATGACTGATTACGGCCTGGCAGCAGCATGAGGAGTCGGTACGGGGGGCCCATGGCAGATTACAGGCCCTGGCAGCAGCAATGGGAGGGCCGTAATCTGCCAGCACCCTATGACAAAATGGAACGCCACCAGCAGTATGAGGAGACTTGAAAGTGGCACATGGCAGAGTGTGGCGATGGAGACAGCAGCAATGGGAGGCGTACAGGGACCATGACACACACTCTGGACCTGGCAGCAGCATGAGGAGGCGGGGAACAGGGTACAGGGGCCCATGAGGACAGCCCATGGCAGATTACGGGCTGGGCCTGGCAGCAGCATGAGGACGGGGGCCCATGGCAGATTACTGCCTGGCAGCAGCAATGGGAGTGCCACGTATTGCCAGCACCCTTATACAAAATGGTAACGCACCTGCAGTATGAGGCCATGGCAGGTGTGCGAGGGAGACAGCAGCCAAGGGGTGGTACAGGGACCCCATGACACACTCTGGACTGGCAGCGCATACGGTACAGGGGCCAGATTTGGCATGAGGAGTCGGTACGGGGGGCCCAGCAGCAATGGGAGGCCCGTAATCTGCCAGCACCCTATGACAAAATGGAAACCCACCAGCAGTGTGAGGAGACTTAAAAGTGGCACATGGCAGATGTGTGGCGATGGAGACAGCAGCAATGGGAGGCCGTACAGGGACCCATGACACACTCTGGACCCTGGCAGCAGCATGAGGAGGCGGTACAGGGGCCCATGGACAGATTTACGGGCCTGGCAGCAGCATGAGGAGTCGGGTATGGGGGCCCATGGCAGATTACGGGCCTGGCAGCAGCATGAGGAGTCGGTACGGGGGCCCATGGCAGATTAGGGCCTGGCAGCAGCAATGGGAGGCCCGTAATCTGCCAGCACCTATGACAAAATGGAACCCACCAGCAGTGTGAGGAGACCTGAAAGTGGCACATGGCAGAGTGTGGCGATGGAGACAGCAGCAATGGGAGGCCGTACAGGGACCCATGACACACTCTGGACCTGGCAGCCAGCAAGAGGAGGCGGGTACAGGGGCCCCATGGCAGAGTGGCGAAGCGTAAGCAGCTTAAATTGAAGGCCATACAGAGGACTATGTTAAAAATAATAACATGTTTGGGGCATGATTCATGGCGGATTTAGTCAGTTGTGTCAGGGAACTGGTGGTTTGAAATCCAGACTAATCCACGCCTGATTCATTTTCACAAACGTGAGTCTCTCCACACTTTGGGGGGACAGTCGTGTCCTCCGCGGAGTTACATACCTCCTGCCGCACTAAAACACACGCTCCAATGCCACGCTACTGGCGGGCATGACAGCCTTTCAAGGGCACAAAATTCAAGCTAGTTGGGGCCAAAGGTCAAGTTTCGTTGCCCAGTAGTCAAGGGGATTGTCTACCTCGGTTGGCAGGGTGCTGTCCAAGTAGGCCCAAGCCTGTTGTTTGAGGTCCTGCTCCAGGTCCACCTGATGCTTGCTGTGCTGCGGCTGGTTAGTAGTTTCCTCACTGCGCTTTTTTTGGTGATGAAGAAAGCTACTCATCATCGACTGCAGACTGAGGCAGCCACTGCTGGTGGAGCTGCCACTGCTCCTACCACCCCACCCCTCCCCTGCTGCCATGGCAGCGGAAACGCGAGCGCACAGGGCCCACAGTGTCTGAGGATGGACGTTGGCGCACAAAGGCAGAGACCAAACTGACTACATAGGTGGTTTTTATAGTACGTTATTTTGGCCTCCCTCTCAGCAGGTGTGAAAAAGGCCACCATTTTTTGAACGGTTAGCGAGGGTCCAACAAGGTGGACAGCCAAAAGTCATCCCTCTGTCTTGATGGTTATTTATTCGGCTGTCGCTACGCAAGCTAACCGAGCATGCTATGGGCCATTTGTGCCAAGGAATGCGAGGGGACTCCCTGCCTCCATCTCCACAGCATACTGCCACGGTGCGTCTGGGTCCTCTGTCTCCTCTCCTCCTCTACCAGATGCTCCCTGCTCCTCCACTCCTGTCCGCTGAGTGGAAAAACCACCCATTTCACTCAATTAATTCCTGAGCACCAATGTCCTCCTCTACCTCCTCCTCTTCTTCCTGTCCTGACCCCCACAGGGGTCATGCGGCGTTGAGATCTGTGCGCACGGGTCTTACCGCACCCCGACCAGCCATTGTTAACAGCATTTTGTTCCAGGACATGCAACAGAGGAATGGACGTCGTTCATCCCATAGTCCTGCCGACTCACGAATAGAGTGGCCTCCTCAAAGGGCCTGAGGCAAGCGGCAGGTGTCTCATGCATGAGCTGCCAATGGCTGACATCTAAGTTACACAGGGGAGTACCTTTATCGCTTGTAACATCAGGAAATCGGTGATGGCCTTTCGCTGTTCGTATAAAGGGCGGTTATAACATATGTAGGGTTGAATTCCACCTTGTTGCAACGTCGCAGATCAGGCGATGCTGTGGAATTCCGTTCTGCCGCTGCAGCTCAAGGAGGGTGTGCTTTGCGGTGTAGGAATGGCTGAAATGCATGCAAAGTTTACGTGACATTTTTAAGGATGTCTTGCAGTGGGATGGTGGATTTTAGGAACCGCTTGGACAACCCAGATTGAAACACGTGAGCCATGCATGGCGCATGGCACAAACCTTCCTTGACGCAGAGCAGAACACCATGTTCTTTCGTTGTCGGTCAACATTTTGGTTCCAATTTTCAGTTTGCGCGGAGGACAGCCATCTGTCGATTTCTCTGTTCATTACACTGAGAAGTTCCCTCCCCTGTGTGACTACGTTCGCCAAGGCATACCAGGTGCAGCACAGCGTGACACCGTTGCGCCCTGCACATGTGATATGCCGGTCGGGCTTAATGGGACTTGGCACGGGGGGGGGGGTGGCGGCTGAGGACACGGGGGGCGGGAAGAAGAGGTGGTAGAGGCGGACATCTTTTGTGGACCAAGGACGTGCAAACATGGAGGCAAAAAGCGGCGTGACCTGTCCAAGTTGCTGGTGCGGGCTGTGCGGCACCACGTTCACCCAGTGGGCCGTAAATGACATGTACTGTCCCTGACCGTAGTTACAGCTCCCACACGTCGGCGCTGCCGTGCACTTTGGGCAGAGACCGACATGCTCAAAGACTGGCCCACCATCTCTTCTACAATGTGAATGCAGGGCTGGCACTGCCTTTTTGGCGAAGAAATGCCGGCTTGGCACTCTCCACCGCGGCGCGGCACAACAAGCCATCATTTCTCGGAAAGGTGCTGAGTCCACCACTTGGAAAGGGAAGGGACTGCAGCACCAGCAACTTGGACAGGAGGACGTTCAGCTTCTGCACCGTCGGGTGCGTGCTCGCAAACTGTTGTCTCTTGGGAAACGGATTCCAAGAAAGACTGCTGACGGAATCCGTGAAGAGAGTAGCAGGAGAAGGAGCATCTGATAAAAACGAGCGGAAGATGCAACGAGCGACAACTCCCCTCAGCAGGGGGGAGGTGTGTGGAGCCTTGACTGGCTGATAGTGGGCGATTGACGTCGGGTGACGGAGCAAGTAACGGAGCGTTGGTGATGGAGCGGGGGCTGGGGCAGGCAGAACCGCCGTATCTTTATCACGGTTTTCCCAGGCCACCGAATGGCGACGCTGCATATGCTGACGCAACGCTGTAGTCCAACATGGGGGGCCCCCTGGCCACGCTTGACTTTCTGGTCACATAGTCGACATACGGCTACGTTTACTTCCTCGGGCGGCTTGACGAAAAATTGCCACACCGCCGAGTAGGAAACTTTGCCCCCGCTACTCCTCACTGTCTGACTGCTACTTCCTCCGTGCACACCGGCACCACTACTGGCCGTGGTGGTAGGCTGCAGTGGAGCTGGTGCTCTACTCCGTGGCCGTCTTTGCCTCCACTGACACTGCTGCGACCCTGCTGCCTCCTGGGCAAACCCACTGACTGTTTTGCTCGCTGGCAAGCTGGCACCCTCTTCTCCTGATGATGCGGAAGCAATAGGCCTGATGACGACGAGGCTGCCAAGTGCGATCAGCCTCATCTCATCATCAATTAGGGTCTCCGCCTCACTACATAGCCCCCTCGGCTGCGTGTGGGTCAAGAGACAGACCTGTCTCTAGACCGGCTACCGAGCCACTCTCCTCGCCAGTACTTTCTTCGCCTGGCTGCTGAAGAGGACGATGTCTCCCCCCGTTCCTGACCGCCCTCTGTTAGCT